TCAGTTCATCATCACATGCTGGTGAGAATTGTTTTTGAACTACAAGAAACCCACTAGAACTAGCTATCCCAAACTCTTCCCGCACTGCATCAACACTTGCAAAATTGGCTCAAACTACCCTTTGGAGAACATTATCGCTTTCACGATAACGCATGCCCCGTATTTGTTTGGCGCGCCTCTTTCACGGTCTCGGCAACGACCAAAACACATGCTTCACTGTAACTGGACAGCACCTCCCCGCACTAATCCTGTCCGTAACCGCGCAACTAGATAGCCTCTATCTTACCCAATAGAAAGGAACATCAACATCTCAGCACACCCAAACACCGCACACATTACATCGCACACCTACCATCCCATGCGCCAACAGGTAGTCTTGCGCTCTCGCCCTCTACCGCTCGGATCATGAGTTCGCGATTCTCCTGCCCCATAAGCAGGGCCTTGATTTTGTCGTTGCGGGGCGTAATCGCCCAGCCAGTCTTGATATGTTTTGCCGTAGGTATGTCGGAGGGGGTAATTTCCTTAATCGCCTTTACAATAGCCATGCGGGCCGCAAATGGTGATGCCCGTTGGAGCCGAGCCTCCGCTCCAACCGCTATAAGGATACGGTTGTCAGTGTTTAGAGGTCGCCTAGGAGTTTGAGCTAGCTGCTTTGGGGCAGCCGTGGCCGCTTTCGTCGTAGCGGCCCCCCTTGCTGGGGGGGTTGGATTTTTCAGGGTCCTAGCTACGTCCGCCCAGGAGCGGTGCGTAGTGTCAGAGTCGCTCCCTGAGTTTGGGGGCGTGATTAGGGGCGTGATTAGGGAGGTGTTAATAGCCCTTAGCACCTTCTGTTGAAGGTCCTTAGCCACACGGGCTCCGTCTGGGTCGGTGTACTTCCCAAGGCATCTGTCGACAGCTGTCGCTAGATCCGTTATGATGGAGTGGTGGAGGTTTGTAGCTTTTTGGGCTGCCTGAATCCGCTGGCGGACCGCTTCAGAGACAGCTTGATTGTAGGAGGTGGGCGCAGTGCTACCGATAGAAGGTTCAGCACGAGTATGTGCTCGCTGCCTCCTCTTGTTGCCGCGCAGGTCAGTATTAATAGGGCTCTCAGGCTCCTCTGATCGTGTATGGGGGGGTTGGGCACTCCGTGGCGCCCTCTCTGGAGTTTCTACATTAGCCATTCTAACCACCTCCGCGAGAGCAGAAAGCGGTTATTTAGCTGAGGTAGTTACAGGCCGCCGTGCCGTTAAAATGATGTAAAAATCGTATAATTTTATAAGGGTCCCAAATTCCTTAAAAGTTGGTGTTCGGTGTGTTGTGAGCTTTGATGGAGGAGCTGGAGGCTCTTCTTGAACTTGAGCACCAGCGCGAGCAGCCTCAACGCGTTTTTGACGCTTGTTGTTCGATGAGGTAGCTGCTGAAGCTCTCCTCTTTCCCTTTTGGGGTAGTTGGATAGTCTTTAGCAGCGGCCTCTCTCCTCCTTCTGGGGGCGCGCGTTTCAGCTGCTTTTCTCAAGCTCGCTCAAGGTCCCTCATCTCCCTTGAGTCTCTGCCTCTCCACACGCCTCTCCTCGAGGTCCATCTTTGACGCTGCAGTCGGAAGCCTCCTCGCGCTGGTTTTTTGGACCGTGCTTTTTGGAGTTTCTCCTCCGTCTCATCTCGCTCCCGTACTGCTTCTCTAGCTCGAGCCTCACGCAGCTTGCGAGGAGACCAGAAGACAGAGCCACCGTGATACTCCTGGCGCTGTTGAAGGTCAAGAGCTTTGCCCTTCTTCCTGTGCTTCTTTTTATGTTGAAGAGCCTCCTTTAAGCCCTCGTTCTCATGCTTTAAAAGCTCATACTGCACAGAGAGATGGTGAACGCTTGAGCGCAGCTTTCTTGCCTCATACTGATGGCTATCATTAACAGCAGCTCGTACTAGCCGATCGAGCTTTCTCCAGTCATGATCAGAGAGCCCTGACGATGAGCTTCTCTCAGCTTCTGGCGTGCTAGCAAATCTACGAAGGATAACGTTGGCATCCATCGGCCAGATCCCAGTGGCTTCGAAGGCCTTCAATATGAGGCTCTCTGTGAAGGAGGATATCCAGGCGCTCCAGAAGAGCGGGAAGAAGTCCCCTTTCTTGATTGGAATAAGGCCTTGAGCCTTATGGAGATGGTTAGTGAGCTCGTTAGAGTAGGCTTGAGAGAGTGGCTTGAACAGCACTACATCTAGCGGCTGGAGCGTATGGGTCGAATGGGGAGGAAGGATCATGAGGAGGATCCTATGGCGATCGCAGTACTTAATAAACTCCATCGTGAGGTGAGATCCATGGCCATCAAGGATGAGCAATCTCCATCTACCTGATCGTTGCTTTGTAGAGCGATCAAACACCTGCTCCAGCCAAGCTAGGCCTACGTTATCATTTGACCAGCCTGTTGGAGATGATGAGACAAAGACCTCATGTTCTCCTGCCTTGATATCTTCTACCCAACTCGATCGTATAGCTCCATTTTTAGCTGCGTAGATAAGGGCTGGAGGCAGCGAGCTCCCATCAGCGCAGCAGCAGGCCAGGACTGTCAGAAACTCGCGTGATCCATCCTGGAGAGATGCTCGAACCTCCTTCTTCTCCCATTGACGCCTGCTGAATATCCTCTTACTTCTGCCTATCAAGCCAATTAAGAAGCCCTTCTCATCCATATTGTATATATCTCGAGCCTCTAGGTGATATTCGGTGATCTTTCGATGCAGCAGCTCGAAGTAGAGTCTATACTTTGACTCAGAATCAGCCAGGTGGCGCGTACGATCCATGGCGCTGGTCCACTTTGAGATGAGATGGATCTCGTGTCGGTTGATGAAGCGAGTAACCCAGCTCTCGCTGAGCTGCTGATGGGCTACTTCTGATGAGAAATTCCTGATCATCTCTCGTGTAGGAGGAATGCCTCGCTTTGTGAGCTTTTCGATATATCTCACAAGCTCTAGCTCTTGTTGTGGGTTGAGTTTCTGCTGGTTGAAGTTCTTGTCTCTTTCTGAGCTTGTCTGGCCCTGGTGCCTTCGGGTCAACGTAGATCTCACAACACCATGCTTAGCAGCAATTTTAGTATACGAGAACTGTTCTCCTGGCTCTAGATTTTCAATATCTTCAATCGCAGCTTGAATTGGGTCCATATTGGTGGAGTTAACGTGTGTTGAAGGTGAAGGGGTTTGACGTGTTTTGGTGTTCCCCGCGCATCACGCGAATCCGCGCATCACGCGCACGGACACGTTAGTAGGTTAACGTGTCCGTGCACGCTGAACACCAAACGCGCGTCTCAGCGTCATAACTTCAACGCGCTATAACTCAACAACCATGGCTCCAATTGATGATGCGATTGCAGATTTAGAGTCGCAAGAGCCCGAAGAAAAACTTGTATTAGCAGAGTTTGCGAGGAAATGGGGTGTCAGCCGCGCAACTCTATCGCGGAGGTGGAGGCGCGTGACAGGGCCTAGGAGTATGGATACGCTCAGCAGCAAGCTATCAGCCCACAACAAGAGCTAGAGCTTGTGAGATATATCAAAACGCTCACAGAGAGAGGCCTTCCTCCTACAAGAGAGATGATCAGGAATTTCTCATCAGAAGTAGCCCATCAGCAGCTCAGCGAGAGCTGGGTTACTCGCTTCATCAACCGACACGAGATCCATCTCATCTCAAAGTGGACCAGCGCCATGGATCGTACGCGCCACCTGGCTGATTCTGAGTCAAAGTATAGACTCTACTTCGAGCTGCTGCATCGAAAGATCACCGAATACCACCTTGAGGCTCGAGATATATACAATATGGATGAGAAGGGCTTCTTGATTGGCTTGATAGGCAGAAGCAAGAGAATATTCAGCAGGCGTCAATGGGAGAAGAAGGAGGTTCGAGCATCTTTCCAGGATGGATCACGCGAGTTTCTGACAGTCCTGGCCTGCTGCTGCGCCGATGGGAGCTCGCTGCCCCCAAGCCTCATCTACGCATCTGCGAAAGGAGCTATACGATCAAGTTGGGTAGAGGATATTAAGGCAGGAGAACATGATATCTTTGTCTCATCATCTCCGACAGGCTGGTCAAACAATAACATTGGTCTAGCTTGGCTTGAGCAGGTGTTTGATCGCTGTACAAAGCAGCGATCAGGGAGATGGAGATTACTCATCCTTGATGGCCATGGATCTCATGTCACGATGGAGTTTATCAAATACTGCGATCGCCATAGGATTCTCCTCATGATCCTTCCTCCCCATTCGACTCACACGCTCCAGCCGCTCGATGTAGTGCTATTTAAGCCACTCTCTCAAGCCTACTCCAACGAGCTCATCAATCATCTCCATAAGGCTCAAGGCCTCGTCCCAATCAAGAAAGGAGACTTCTTCCCACTCTTCTGGAGCGCATGGATATCCTCCTTCACAGAGAACCTTATATTGAAGGCCTTCGAAGTTACTGGGATCTGGCCGATAGATGCCAACGTTATCCTTCGTAGATTTGCCAGCACGCCAGAAGCTGAGAGAAGCTCATCATTAGGGCTCTCTGATCATGATTGGAGAAAGATAGATCGATTAGTTCGAGCTGCTGTCACTGATAGCCATCAGTATGAGGCAAGAAAGCTGCGTTCAAGCGTCCACCATCTCTCTGTTCAGAATGAGCTTTTAAAGCATGAGAATGAGGGCTTAAAGGAGGCTCTTCAACACAAAAAGAAGCACAGGAAGAAGGGCAAAGCTCTTGACCTTCAACAGCGCCAGGAGTGTCACGGTGGCTCTGTCTTCTGGTCTCCTCGCAAGTTGCGTGAGGCTCGAGCTAGAGAAGCAGTACGGGAGCGAGATGAGACGGAGGAGAAACTCCAAAAAGCATGGGCCAAGAAGCAGCGTAAGGAGGCTCAACTGCAGCGTCAAGTTGAGCTCGAGGAGAAGCGTGTAGAGAGGCAGAGGCTCAAGGAGATGAGGGAGGTTGAGCGAGCTGAGAAAGCAGCTGAACGCGCGCGCAAAGTTGAAGCTCAACACCAGAAAAAATATATCCAACAAGCTCAAAAACGCAAGCGTAAAGCCTCACAAGTACTCTCACCAAGTAACAAGCGTCAAAAACGCGCTGGCGCTGCTCACGCTGGTGTTCAAGCTCGAGATGAGCTATCTGCTACTCCAGCCCAAGTCACATCACGTGGCCGCAACGTCAACCTCCCACAAAAATATAGATAGTACAAGTTGATCGCAAGCATCTGATTACTGCTATACTACGTTTTTATTAATATTGAGCTATTATGTGGCGTTGTACAGCCTCATTTTTGAGATCGCTAAGATAGTGTTCGGCGTGCACGGACACGTTATCTAGGAATGGCTCCAGGGTGAAGATAGCAGGCCTGTTTCCGGGCAGTCTCAGTGGCGAGTTGACTATTCAGGACTGTACTAATATAACAAACCGAACCAGCTACCCTGACATTGTAACGGACTGAATGTACTTTGGTATTGTCTCGGTAAGTCTCAGATTCTGGGTGAGGTCCTATGCACCCGGAATCTGCGATTCGCTCGAACAGCGGTCAGGTCCCTACCAATAAATCTCTAACCGGCGAGTAGATAAATAACTGCATAAGCAGATAGCCAGTTCTTTGCCAAATACAGGCCTATTTTACCCGCCCCTGCTATCAGCTACATCCCCTTGAGTCTAACTCCTTGCAAGCTACTTTTCAACTTACTACCATGTAGCTATGTGGGAGTCCTGTCAGTCAAACAGACTGGATTCAAGATTGCACCAGCCAATCCAGCGGCTGGCGGCCTCAAATTTACAGAGATGGGGTTAGAAACACTACCGGTACCGGTACGGCTTGATATCTCCGTGGCCATGTGGACTGCCTAGCATTATTCAGTCCATCCGTCTTGGTAGATATGTATCTGGCTTTCTCTAGTTCTTCAGTCTTATGCAGCTTCAGTTGCACTGTTCATTAGACTCGTAGTGACGGAGCTGTGTCGTGTTGGGGTTTGAGGTAGTCAGTGCCCTATAGACGTTCAGTCCACGGACACAGTAATCGATGCTTGAGCAACTACGCTCTTGAATACTTGATCGTAGCGTCCCGTCACGCCAGCGCAACTGCATTCTAAATATATGGTCGTCGATTTTTCAGATATCAGGTGAGCTGTAGTGGTTACTGTGTCCTGAGGGATCGTGTTAAATCGTAAACCTAGCATGAATTCACGTGCTTATTTTAGTCCGTCAAGTACACTTTGGATACGAACGTATGTTCATTCTGTCTGCTGGTCTATATCTCACCACCTTTAGAGTTGTATGGCCTTAGAACCGACGCCTTGGCTGCAACGATCCTACAATGCCTTCCTCAGCGTGCTCTTGAATGGAAAGATTTGCGCTTTGTCCCAGTCCCACACGCCTTCGGAAACATAGATATCGTTCTTAAGCCGCTCAACTACCTCCTCACGCGTCCGCGCTCTAACCAGCATAGCAGAGCCCTTCATCTTTGGCGGCGTAGACTCGCCTTCCTGAATCGGCTCTTTCTGTTCCACAAAGACAGCCACCGTCGCCTTGTCTTTGTCGTCTCCCGGCATGATCACTTCTACTGCCATACGTCCTACTTCCGGCATGCACTCGCGCACGTGGTGCTCAATCTCCCCAAGCTCCACCCGCTGCCCGCGTACCTTGACCTGCCCGTCCTTGCGCCCTACGTACACTAGATTGCCGTCTGCATCGTAGTGCACCAGGTCGCCGGTCTTGTACAGCCGGCCGTGCCGGCCCGCGTGCCGGCCCGCGTGCTCTTTGGAGCCTTCCAGCAGCCAGGCCGGGTCGTCGATGAACGCGGCCGCCGTCTTCTCTGCGTCGTTCAGGTAGCCGCGTGCCAGGATCGGTCCCTCAACGAGCAGCTCGCCCACCGACCCGAGCGGCGCAAGCCTGTTGTGGTCGTTTGGATCCACCACCCAGCCCACAGAAGCAATCAACTTTCCAATCGTTCCTGACGTGAAACCAGCAACATTAGAGTGTGATGTGCACCAAACGCTGCATTCTGTAGGACCATACGTATTGATCTGCTTTTCAAGATGACTCCACCTTTCCCAGTCAACGCGGCTCACCTGCTCACCCCCAAGTACCAAGGTTCTGAGCGATGGAATTGTTTTGGGGTCAAGTGTTCGTGCAACCGTTGGCGTAAGCAATGCCCAACTTACTTTCAAGGTGTTTGAAATGTTCGACAAGTCGTTGCGTCTGTCCAGCTCGGAGGGAACGCAAATGCATGCGCCAAACAAAAGGGCCGTGATGATCTCCGTGATGCACGCGTCAAAGGTGTAGGCAGCAAACTGAAGGCTTCGAGTGCTAGGCGAGAAGCCAAACGCCTCTCCATGGGTGAGACAGCTTGTTGAAATTGCTCTGTGTTCTAGGACGACTCCTTTGGGTGTTCCTGTGCTGCCTGAAGTGAACATGACGTACGCAATACTACTTGGCTTCGATATCACGTTGGCCTTGTCGCTTGCGCTTGACAGTCTATCGAAAGAGGCCTTGCTGACCACCACGACGGTGCGGTTGCCGCCGCTGCAGAGCGTCGAGTGCTGTGCCGAAGCAAGCACCACTCTGGCGCCAGTCTGCCGGAAGATCTCCTCGTGCCGACTTGCTGGGTGTTCTGGGTCTAGGGGAGCGAAGGCGCCGCCAGCCTTGAGCACTGCCAGCATGGCCACCACCGTCCACATCGACTTCTCGAAGCACAGAGGAACAATGGCTTCGGGCCCGACGCCCAAACCCACTAGGTAGCCGGCCAGCCTGGACGACAGCTCGTCCAGCTCGCCGTACTTCATCTCGCCGTCCCACGCGCAGATGGCCGCCGCGTCAGGTCGTGCCCGCGCCTGCTCCACAAACAGCTCGTGCACGCACCGCTCCACCACCGGAGGAACCTCTCCATTCCACTTCCACAGCTGTTGCTGCTGTCTCTTTGAGAGGATCTGCAGGTCGCCTATCGTGGATGTCGTTTTTGTGATGATGCCATAGATCGCTTGGCTCAAGCTCTCTGCAAGATTGGCGGCTTGGGCATCGTCAATGCAGCGGGTCTGATAATGGATTTCGATCTCCATCACAGAGCGATTGTATCCAACCCCTATGTTAATAGCATACTACATCCAGCAGGTTAGTAAGGGGCCATGCATCACCGCTCATACATGAACTCACCTCAGTCGGATCCGATCCGCTCTGACCGCGGAAATCAATCTCAGAATCGTTAACAGCCATTGTGTCATCGATCCGTTGAAGCGATAGGATTGTGTTGAACAAAGCGTTCGCCCCCAGCCCAAGCATGCTGTGCACGCTCGCGAGAGAGATGTTCTGATGCGGCAGGCTGTTTGTATAGTCGCTCTGCACTGCCCTCAGCACATCCATCACAGTCTTATGTTCATCCAGCTGCACTCTGCATGCAATCGTTGTAATAAGCGGGCCAAAGATATTGGCGACATCCTCGACCGGCAAGTCCCGTCTCGAGGAGAGATTTCCAAAGCACGGGGTCGTCGCTCCAGTGTATCGGCTTAGGACCAGGGCCCATGCTGTCTGTATAATAGTAGCTATGGTGATGTCCCATGTCTGGCAAAATGTATGGACGGCATTTGCGTCAATGTCAGGCACATGCACTGTTCCATCTCTGTAGCATACATCTTGAGGCTCTGCCATCGAAGAGAAAAAGCATGGCTCGACGCCATCAAGGTACCTTGCCCAGTAAGCATGCGTCTCCTCCTGTTCCTGTTGGGTTAGATACGAAACGACATCTCGGAACCGCCCGCTGTCTGGATTAAGGTTGGCACTGTATGCACTTTGCAAGTCGCGCAAGATGACGCCGCGAGAGTGGGCGTCAAAGATGGCGTGGTTAATATCTAGGCATAGATAGGCCTTTCCATTATCAAGCTGGCAAATGAACATGCGATGCTGCAGGCCACTGTCTTGCTGAGCTAAAGTGTCCTGGTGGGCGCGGAACATGGCAAGAGTTGCTGTGTCTCCCGCTGCTCGGAAGAATGATATGCTGGGTTGTGGATCTTTCAGCACTACGTTCGTGGTTCCTAAACTTCCAGGCACGTTATCGACCAGCAGTGCCCGCAATAGCGAATGCCGGCGTACCACAGCCTCCCAAGCTTGCTGCAGCCGAGTGCAATTGACCTGGTTTTGCTGCGTCGGTATGACTTCAAAGATAGACGATACCCGATATGCATCTGGATCTCTGCTCTGGCTGATGAGGATCCCCTCCTGCATGGGCAGACACGGAAAGACGTCCTCGACCTCTTCAGGTTGGACGCCAAGCTCTGCAAGTGTATCGTTCTGGAAGCTGTCCAGATCTTCGTAGGTTTTGAACGCGAGTGGCAGGTCGCTCAGCGTCCATTGCTTATGCTTCTTCTGCAGGAGAGTCGCCATCTCAACCAGGGCCATCTCGTAGCGCTCGATCCAGTTGGCTACTTGCTGCTGGCGCTTCGCTTTGCTGTCGCTTGTAACAGTCACGTGCATGCGCCCCTTTTCGACAACCGCAGATACGTCGAACAAAGCGAACCTCGGGGCCTCTAACATCGATGCTGGCTCACATCCGTCCGGAGCTGGCAGGGTTTTGAACAGCGAGTCTGTGCGCTCGAGCTGCTGGTACACGCCTTGATAATTGAATATTACTTCCACAGGGAACATGGACGCGAACACATCCGAAGTGTCAGCATCGGCAAACCGCGAGGCAAAATAGGATCGGCCGTTGTCAGGGAACTTGCGCATGCCATCTTTGGTGTGCCGGATGACCTCAAGCAGGTCGCCTCTGGTGTGACTCGGCACCTGAATGGGGAGCATGCTCGTGAACCATCCCACAGTGCGAGAGAGATCAATGCCGGCATCCCAAGGCTCGCGGCCGTGGCTCTCGTTAAAGATGGTGGGCGGAGCTCGGTCGGAGAAGGCAATAGCAAAAGAATGAGCTAGAGCGGCAAGCATAAGCTCCACAGGACGCGTCTGAAATACATCGTTGCAGGGTCCGAGCAGGGCCGAGGTTGTCTGTTCGTTGAGTGCAAACTGTTTCGATACCACACTCCCGCGTTTGACAGCATCAGGTTCTATGCCCCAGTAGGACAGTGACTCCCCAGAAGCCACCTCGTCTTGAGCCACGCCACTAGGGCATTTGTGCTTGGTAGCATGTTCCGTTTGGAGAGCCTGCCAGGCTTGAAAGGGGACGGCGGGCACAGCGGGAAGCTTCCGCGAGAGAAGCAGGTCCTCCAACTCTTCGAGAAGCACACGCCACGAAACCAGATCGATCACCAAGTGGTGAATGGCGATAGACAGCAGTTGGCGCTGACCCTGATCGCACAGGACTGCTGCCAGCACAGGACCATTCTGTACATCCAGCCCGTCTCGGCTCTGTCGGATCGCTTCACTAACGTCCTTGCTGTCGATGCACCGCACATAGTCCACCGTAAAGGAGGCACTACCGCGATCGGATATATGTTGCTGCCACCTACCTCCAGCCGTCTGGCTGAACAAAGCTCGGAGCATGGAATGCCGTCGAACAAGGGTTTTGAACGCTGCGCGCAGCGATTCGAGGTTTGTCAAGCTGCTGAGCTCTAGGAAAAAGCTCTGGTCAAAGCAAGCGCTGCCAGTGCTCTCGAGCCGGAGATATAGCTCCTGAATCGGCGTCAGACTAAAGTGCCTGTTCACTGGGTCTTCCATCACAAGATTGGAAGAGAAGTGATTCCGCGACATGCGGTGAGCCAAACGGGAAATGGTTTTCTGTTCGAGGATATCGGCTGTAGTGACTGAGATTTGGAGCGACCGCGCGGTCGAAGAGACCTGCATGGCTGTGATCGAGTCGCCGCCCAGGCGGAAGAAGCTGTCGTCCAGCCCGATGCTGTCTGCGTCGATGTTGAGCACCTGCGCCCACAGCTGCTGCATTGCCTTCTCCTTGTCTGTCGACGGCTGCCGCTTTGGTCCCTGGCTGCGCGTGCGCAGCTCCGCCAGCTGCTGGGCTGAGAATGTAGCCCCAACCTCGCGCAGCCGCTTGCGGTCTGTCTTACCCGACGTTGTCATGGGAAGCTGCGCGACTGAAAAGTAGACTCCGGGTACCATGTAGCTAGGCAGCCGCTCGCTGAGCTGGCTGTCCACCTGGGAGGGGAAGAAAACGCGTGCAGAGGAGCCGTCTCCATCGGAAACCTCTTCCTCTTTCTGTTCCACAAAGACAGCCACCGTCGCCTTGTCTTTGTCGTCTCCCGGCATGATCACTTCTACTGCCATACGTCCTACTTCCGGCATGCACTCGCGCACGTGGTGCTCAATCTCCCCAAGCTCCACCCGCTGCCCGCGTACCTTGACCTGCGCATCTTTGCGGTTGACGTACACTAGATTGCCGTCTGCATTGTAGTAGACGAGGTCGCCGGTCTTGTACAGCCGGCCGCGCCGGCCCGCGTGCTGGTCGCATCCCTCCAGCAGCCAGGCCGGGTCGTCGATGAACGCGGCCGCCGTCTTCTCTGCGTCGTTCAGGTAGCCGCGCGCCAGGATCGGTCCCTCAACGAGCAGCTCACCCACCGCGCCCAGGGGAGCCAGCTTGTGGTGGTCGTTGGGGTCCACCACCCAGCTGACCGACGCAACAGACTTGCCGAGCAAGCCTGTGTAAAAGCCAAGAGTACCGGAGTAGAAAGTGCAAAGAACACAACACTCAGTAGGACCATATGTAGTTATCTGACGGGCATAAGGGCTCCATCTGTTCCAGTCGTGATCTGTTACAAGTTCTGCTCCGAGGATAAGATTTTGTAATCCCGGGATGCGCTCTGGATCGAGAAGCTTCGCAACAGTAGGCGTGAGGTGTGCCCAATTCGCGTCCAGAGCATTTATTGCTTTCGAAAGATCATCTTTCTTGTCGCTTTCTGATGGGACGCAAGTACAGCCACCCATTAGAAGCGTAGTCCATATCTCGGTAATGCTAACGTCGAACGTGTAAGAAGAGAATTGGAGAAAGCGCGAGTCGCTTGTAAGGTTATAGGCTTTTCCGTGACCCAAGCAGCTGGTCAATATTGCCCTGTGCTCAATCACCACGCCCTTGGGCTTTCCCGTGCTCCCAGACGTGAACAGCACATAGGCAGGGTTGTCTGGCTGTGCCTTTGTGCGAGTTGTCGTCCTTTTGTCGGTTGTGCTGGCCTCGCTGGCCTCGCTGGGCAGCTCACGCATGGCAGCCTCGCTGACCACCACGACGGTGCGGTTGCCGCCGCTGCAGAGCGTCGAGTGCTGTGCCGAAGCAAGCACCACTCTGGCGCCAGTCTGCCGGAAGATCTCCTCGTGCCGACTTGCTGGGTGTTCTGGGTCTAGGGGAGCGAAGGCGCCGCCAGCCTTGAGCACTGCCAGCATGGCCACCACCGTCCACATCGACTTCTCGAAGCACAGAGGAACAATGGCTTCGGGCCCGACGCCCAAACCCACTAGGTAGCCGGCCAGCCTGGACGACAGCTCGTCCAGCTCGCCGTACTTCATCTCGCCGTCCCACGCGCAGATGGCCGCCGCGTCAGGTCGTGCCCGCGCCTGCTCCACAAACAGCTCGTGCACGCACCGCTCCACCACCGGAGGAACCTCTCCATTCCACTTCCACAGCTGTTGTCTGTCCTCGGGAGTGAGCGTATCAATCTCAGCAACTGTCGTCTTGCCACCGGCTTCCGCCAGCTGCTGCGCGACGAAGCCAAGCTGGCCCAGCATCCTCTGCACTTGCCACTGCTCGATGACCTGTGGATCAAAGCTGGCCGTGATCTGCACTCGCTCCGTAGCTAGCGTGCACTGCACCATCAGTGCGTAAGTCGTGAAGTCCTGCAGCTCTGACTTGGTCTGCCATCTTCCTAGTGACTTGTCGCTCTCTAGACCGTCATCAGCTGGCTGCACTATCAGCAGCGTCTGGAAGCCACAGGC